ATCACCGATGAGTTTTCAGGTTCTAACATTAATTTCTTGATATGTCGGAGCTTTTAATTGTTATTACTATTGTGTGTGCATCATGGGTTGGACAACTAATACAACATGCATAAGAATGCTATCAATTGAAGTTGGTGTAGTTTTAATTTAAAGCTGGAATGAGTTTACGGCGTTGTGAGTGTAAGTGCGTGAATATGCATGAGAATCTCAAACATGACTTTTGTTTGTCGCAGCAAGGACATTCTTGAGAAAAGTCCTATGCAGAGTTTCAATATACTTTTTAGATATCACAATCGTAAATTCTAGATTGTACTTGAGAGTATGATTGTAAGTACTTGCCACATACTAATGCAAAAATGGCATTGAAAGCATTAACAACTGTGAAAGTGCATCTAGAACACTAAGTTAAGAGCACGCAATAAGCTACTAATATGCGATAAGCAACAATTCGTTAACGGTTCTCATATTTAACGGAAACGTTAATTCATTAACATAAAATTTACGGCGTTGATTAACGGTTAACAAATATTTATATTTACATGGTAGAGTGATTTATTTTAAGGTTATGAAACATTAGGAGGCCGGATAATTACTGATCATTTGGACGAGATCCTTTTCAGTTATTTGTTTAAATTTAATTCAATATTTACAAAATAACGTCTCAAAAAATTAATTAAGGAGTTCGGCTAGATTGATAGCTGCCGCTTTTGCTTACTGAATAGCATATCGTCTGTTTAAGAAGAGTTGATCGGAAATCTATATCAAATCCTTCACAAGAGCAGTTGTTGTCGTTGTCTGAGGGGTCGCCGCTGGGACCGAAATCTAGTAACAGCAACTTGATCGTATTTTTTTGTGATATGAGGAGCTCGGTGGCCTCGTGGCAGCCAATTTTGCATATTGAGCAGAATATTATGGGTTTAATCTCAAGCTCCTTCACATTATAGAGTTTTAGTCGGAATCGGAATTGAGATAAAGCGTATTGAAATGGAGGAACAAGTACGTAAAAGAAATAATATTCGTCGTTTATTGTCTTGTAGGTGCTTTAATCAGGGTTATTAAAATACCCATAGCGAGCAAAATGCACCCCCTTATATCTCGGCTGCTAGGTGATTTTTTTCCACTGCGACCAGTAATTTGATCTATTGTAGCATATCCCGTGTCCTTAGTTTAGTGCATGTTGTATTACTCCATCACTATTGTTGTCATTCTTGGCTTCATCGCAAGGAATCGATTCTAATTGAAAGGTCCCGCTATTTATACCCTTCGAAAAGTGAGAGCACCCTCCAAAGGCGCACCCCTTTGTCAGTCAAAATTGGATTCATTAGCAACAAAACTAAGCAATGATACCGATAATGACCATGCATCAGAACCCTAATCTTATCCACTTCAAACTAGGGAATAATGAATAGAAGATTAGGAATCACGTTGAAGACTAACTAACTCATTTTTTTTCCTTGTTTCATGTTCATCCTCGGTGGACAATGACGAGTACTGTCACTCTTAACAAGCGTTAGCGTTGTTATGATATACTTCGTAGATTGGATACTACACACTTAGATTTTTTTACAGGAGTCAGTATTTTTGGCTGGGTTTTTGAATTACTGAAAAACTCGGCTAAAATTCAAATGACCGAAAGATTCGATAAAATCGACAAATTTTATTTTTCATCATTAAACGGGGTTAACAGAAGTAAGTCTTTAAATTTTCGTAACACAGTTTTCGCATCTTTGAATTTTTCACAGATTTTATAAATTTTACCGAACAGTTCCGCAATTCAAAAACTCGGTAAAAATTACTGACTGGATAAGTGTGGAGCGACAGTCACGATTCTTTTGAAATTCTCAGTCAGACTACTTTCAGGAATAATGTTGGGGAGTAAACATTGATTTCAATCTAAATAAGAATATCAGAAGCATGACTGTCGCTATTCCTGGCCACCATAACAAGGGATGTTGCGAAGGAGATGTTGACGTAAAGTTTAAAGAGCTTGGGGTTAAATCCATGATTTTCTGCTCAGTAAGCAAAAACGATTCCTCAAGGGTCATCGGGCTTCTCACAATCCACAGCGCTTCGCGTCAAAGTACGATTAAATTCTCTTTTAGTATTTCTTTTTTCTTGATTTTTTTTCCCGTCGATCTTGTTTTCCGTGCTGAGCACCAATGCTATCGACGCCAGGGAGGTAGCTGCCACACCGGGACCCTACCTATCGACCCATCAACTCATTAACCGGGAACCAACGGGTTTACTTCCCTTCCGAAGGAAGGCGTGATCAGAGATTTTATGCTTCAGAACATCCCGGCGGCGCCGACTGGGATTGAACCCAGGCCTGCTGGGGTGAGAGGTAATCACACTTACCTCTTTTAGTATGTAACGATCGATTAAGATACGCGATAATTCATGTATTTTCTACGGTCGATGGTTAATTTAAAATATACGAATAGTACTGCCAACGACGACGATAGTAGCGAATTTGAAGCTTACCTTTTGCCTAGGATAAAAATACCTTGGCACTTCCACTGGATCCTCATGTGCATCTAGCTCCAATTCTTGTTTTTGTTTTGCGCTAAATTCCTTGCGGTAAAATCAGTTCGTAATCTCTCTATTGGTTTCTGTCCTCCATGGTGGACGCTCGGGTTGGCGAAGTATTTCCTTTAACGCCGTGCTACGGTTATCGTGCGCCGCACCTTTACACTTTACTATTGTCGGATTGACAACATTGCTCAGGCTACGCCACCCAGGCTGAGTTCACGTTTCTGCTGGTAGTCGTTTGTAATCATATGACTCGTGGAGGCGTGAGGTAGGGACTTGTGAGGACCGGAGCCAGGTACCACGCTCCTTCCAGGTTATCAACTCACCATTTGTAGCCCGAGTACTGTCACTCTTAACAAGGCATAAAAGGTAACAAGGACTAAGATGCGTTCCTTTGATTGCTGAAAAATACTCTCCTAGGTTGAAGTAGTCAGGACTAGGATTCGGTGCTGGATCTTACATCCCGAAACGTACCACGAAAAGGTGATCTACCCACGTTACGTTATGTGCTATGTGAATGGAAGCAAACATTTGTTTGATGAAAGTCGTTTGAAATTAATCAAATTGAAAAACAATTTTGGCAAGGAACACTTTTGGCTCGTAGCCCTAATGGCATGTTTATTAGAAAAATAGTAGTTATTTTCACCATTACTATTTGTTACTGTGAGTGGTTCATGATGCACTCCTGGAATTGTTGCGTGGAAAGCATAACCATCAGGCGGGAACCATTGAAATTCAATAGAGGAAGAAAATAGATAAAGCCTAAATGTATGTCTCCTCGGCATGAAGTCAGTATGCGCATTTTGCCCAGCAGTATTTCGAAAACAGGTTATTGTTGGCCTTTTGAATTTTACCAATTTAAACAAGAATTTAATAATTTTCGGTAAGCATATCAATTGTAACATCTTGCCTGTAATCGAAAAGAACATTGAGATGACATTACACTTAAATATCGATTCACTTTGTGGATTAAACGGAGATCTTCTATAACATGGTCATTTTACCCGGTCGGAGACGAGCCAGCCAACGGCTGAAAGTCTCCTTAATAAAGATATTAAAAAAAAAAAAAATAATTTTACCCCAAATCTTTTATTTCTTATGTCCTTTTTGGTATTGTTTGTAATGTTAGTTTTACGAAAAGATGTTGTATATTTAATACGCCTATTTGTGCAAGTCTGACAAGCTCAAACAGAATTGTCCCCATCAGGCTTCATTTAGACAACTAAATTCAGATGAATAAAATAAATAAGTAAGTAAATAATTTGCTAGAACATTAACTGCAAATTAAAAAAAAAAGAGTTCATATCGAAAGGCAACGGCACTCTACCTATGTCTTCCATTAACGGCAGTGGGCGTAACCTGCGGTAAACTGGGCTGACTGAAACTAGCTCTTTTGCAAGGTTTCAGGATAATCCCATGCACGAACGAAAGGGAACACGTATCAAGTGTAGATATGCAAATTAAGTATGCGTTCTTTCCTTGAATGAATCAGCTGCACGAAGTGGAATGTAAGTCCGTTTCCAAAAAAATAAAGTTCTTAGAGAACGGAACGTTTGCTGCGAAAACCGAGCGGATGCATGATGATATCATTCCGGCAGCATAAGCCTTACTCATTCTTCAATGCTCTCGGTTGTTTCGATAACAAAACAAGCAGTGCCGATTAGTATAATAATAATTCACTCGCTCTTTTTTTCTTATTGCATTTTCCACAGATTCTCACCTCCCCTACTTCCCCTGCCCATGTATCCACTTAGCATACTGCATGATTTTTCTTTTCACTCAATGAATGAGAATATGCCACGAATATAGCTCGATCACTAGATTTTTCAGTATTTTCAAGGTGCACCGAAAAAAATAAACTCACTGAAAGTTGACGTACATGAGGTACATAAAAAACACGCCCACGGAGTTGCGAACGTCTGATATTTTTTGTTGTTGTTACTTCGTCTATGACACACCACGACGAAACGGCAATCAACTGACTGAGAAGGCGACGTCAACGAAAAATATAGACGTCGCGAGGTGGATTTCGACCAAGGCCCTGGAGAGAGGTACTCAGCAGCGGTTTGGCGACGATTCTAGACTTTTTTGGGGATCAGGATAACTTTCCCTCGCACAGCATAAAACCAGTGGGGTGTGCGGTGTAACTTTTTTTTTTTCTACTCTGGTTTTATTTTCTTCTCACGTCAACTCTCCACTCTATATGCAAACACATCGTTTGACCTAGTTCGCGTACACCGACACGACGGTCAGCGGTTGGAGAGTTGGTGAAATTTTCAAACCTTGATATGGCTAGATCACCGGCCGTCGTCACCAGACCTTGGACAAAAATCCGCTCCGCTCGTAGAACTGACACTGGAGTTCAGGTTTCCAAGCCCACTATTCACTGAGCGGTAAACATAACCTCCAATGGATATTTATATACACCCTAGCACAATTATCGATGGGGAATAATATTTCTGATATCGTACCGTACTGCCAGTTCTGCGCACACAGTTCCCGGTTCTCCGGTAATGATTTGGCACACGATTTTTTTACACTGCAGTGTAATTTTCTCAATCACTTGAACACTCGTCGCGTATACGACTGATACGCCTCTCCCGCTGGCACTATTTGGCAAGTCCTTAAAAGCTTAACGAAAATTCACTTCACTTCACATCACCAACATACACGTCATTTTCGAACGGCCGAGATTTTACTACTCAAAGTAGGACCTTCGACAGGCCTCTTCGCTATCTAACGAATAATACTGCCACAGAAAAAAAAACATACTTTTGCCTAATACACACTTCCAACTCGACTCTTTCTTCTGCGTTTACGTGCCACTATACATCCACACGAGCCGTACGCTAGCTGCACGGTGCTTGAGTCATGAATCCATTCGGAAATATGTACTTCAGCGGCTTGAAGATAAACTAGTCTTGAGAGTACTGTCGAAATTCGGTGAAACAAGTTAAAATTTAATATTATTAGATTTAGGGGAGAATTAATGTTTGCAACTGTGCATTACATAATCGTATTCTATGCTATTTAACAGCAAATTGAATAAAAATATTAATCGTTTATTTTAGAAGAAAAATAGAACATCGTGTAGCACTTCGTTTGCTTTTATTTAAGCAGTAAATAATGTTTAATGTTTTTTTGACTTTTTATAGATATAATTGCTTTTTAATGCTATGCATAAGTTGTGAATTAAAATCAGAAAATTGTTTCACAAACATTATACGTTGATACATTTTATTTTTAAATCATGCAAAAATAACCGTACACACAGTACACTACAGAGTTATAACATATTTTAAAAATTATCGACAAGAAAAATATCATCAAGATAGCATTATAACATGTTATGACTGCGCAGTCTGAACATATTTCATTGTTCTTAAATTTTTGAACAGCGTAACTGTTCGGTAAAAGTTTAAACATCGGTGAAAAATTCAAAAATCAAGCTATCGATTCCAAACTTTATCAGACCTTGTTCTATTAGCTTAATCAAACGTTTTAAAAATCCTATTTTATTGATTTCTTACGTAGTTGTCGATACTTATTTCACCGACCTTTTCAGTAGTTCAAAAACCCAGCTAAAAATTACTGCTTCATGTAAAAGGTGTAAACTTTAATCGTTTGAAATAAACACATTTCAAAACACTTTCACACAACCGGGCAATATTTTTCCCTCTCAACACCTCTCATGGAAACGCCGCACCATCTATCTAGTCTCGTCGTTCTGTTGCGTTCCGTCGGTCGTCGGTATACTGTAACACCCAAAACCCGAGAGTAAAAAAAAAATCGCGTACAACACTGAGAGAAAGGCTGAGGCACAGCAGAAAATTCCTTCACACACAAACGCCCCCGTCTTCTTCGTCTCGTCGATTTTCGGCTCAAAGAATCTACCCGTTTTCTCACTGAAACTGGCCACAACCGTGCGGTATAATTTCACCCCTTCGCACAACGCTGATACCTACATGGAAAAAAATCACAAAATTCAACAATTTCTACGTCTAAAACTTGTAACAAGAACTCAAAAAGTGGATATATTTAATTTTTAATGTATCACGATCAATCCAAAAAAGGCAATGATCAAGCTGGGCTTGCCCGATGTGGCAATGGTATATGTTTAATTTGAAGTTTTAAACGTTAAAAGTAGTTCTCGCGACGGCCACCGACAGAGCGCTGCAGTGCTTGTGTCAGAAAGTGGTGGCTTGAACCATCAGTGGCATATTTATGTGTATGTCATTTGTGTTTCTGTCGATAACGCTTGCAAAAGCGTTAGTAGCGCTGTTTTCCGTTAAGACTGCCCTAGACTTAAATCCTTATTCATCTTTCATTAGGAAGATTTTTGATAAATGTGTTATTTTAATATGTAGCGATGGTGGGGTTAAAATAAGCACCCTAAGGATATTTATGTTGTTTATGGTGAAAGTTAGTGTATTGTGGGCAGCGTTGCCAGGTCATGTTCAGAAAAATTTGGACCAGTTAAAATATAAAATCTGGAAAAATCTGGAATGCTTCAAAAATCCAGTTTTTAATATAATGCTATTGAAATCAAAGTGATGTGCCAATCTCCCGTAGAAATCGGTCAATATGATCATCTGGAATTTATTTAAAGTACTAAAATGGTTATGAATTACATGTTTAAATAAATTATATAAAGCAAATAACTTGTTAGCATTGCTGAAATCATCCAGAAGCTGAAAAGTATTGACAATATGCCAAAAAAATTATATATCCATTACGCAGAACTTCAAAAGTTGAGTTAAATATGGGCAAAATACTGCAGAAAATATGTTTAGAATTGTTGCTTAAAGTGTAAGTTTTTTTTAAAAGAATGAGAAGCAAAGAATCAAGCAATTTTGAAGGGGAAAATTTTATTTAACAAATAGTCCTTACTATTTGATGCAGTACCAGAATATATCTTAACGACTTTATTAGTTCTAAATAACTCTAATATTACCCTGAGGTTTATCAGATTTAAAATTTAATTCTTAACATCATACTACACACAACACCCAGTAGACCACTTGGCCATTTTATTTTGAAGTAAAATCTACCTGACTGAAGTGGGAATCAAAGTCTAACATCGTGGTACTCACACACAGTTTACCCAAACTACGGGTAACTCCACTATTCGCATGACCATTACGAATAATTTTATGCCAAAGAATAATTTTATTATATTACTAAAATGAAAGTCTTATAGCTTCATTTTTGAAGTCTCAGGATCTCGAAATGATTCTGAATTCCGGAATTTATATTTTTCCTGTGTGAATTTACTTGGAACTCTTCACAGGATCTGTTCGCCGTTTCTTTAGTTCCATTTCAATCATCCTAGAATTCCATCATACTTTTTTTTCTATATTCCCTTAAAATAATCTTGATAATATCCAAACTTTTCCAGTAACATTCAAAGAGTTCTTAGCATTACCTCTTGAAATCTCTTATAAATCACTCTCCAATTCCGCAATTCCCTCAAACTGGTAATAATTCCCAAGAATTGAATATTTTTAATAATTTCCTTGGTACACTCTTCGGAATGACCGTCACGCTCTTCTCAGACCCATCCGATAATTCCCTTTGAACTACTTTGTAGGTAAGGATAGAATTGTGCTGAAATCCTCTTCAGTATTTCCTAATTACTCAAGTATTCTGCCAAAATGGTTTTGAAAGTCTCGCAGAAATTGCGCATAATTCCGTTTAAATTTTTATTAAAATTAATCTTCATAGAAACATTGGACAGAATTCCATTGAAATTATGCTCATGATTCGTATCAGCATACTCCTTAAGTTTCATGAATTTTCTATGATTTCTCTTCCGGATAGTATTTCCTTTATCCACAAAATCTCCATGCAACTGTCATCAGAGTTTACAAGACAATTGATACCGTCTTCAACCAGACTGACAGACTGAATATTTAACACTAGACAACAGACAATACACCACACCCAGTAGACCAGTAAGGAAATTATCAGGTTGCCAAAATTTGCACCGGCTGGGAGCGGGAATCGAACCCTCACTTTGTGGCACTCACAATACGCCGAATCGACGGGTGAAGTCACACGACCACGAAGCCCACAAAGATGGATGGAACTCTACTCAGAATTAGCTTGAAATTCTCGTTTGATTTCACAGGAATACATCTTACACTTCACTGTGAACTATTTCCAGAATTACCTTAAACTTCCAATAATGTCCAACGTTGATGGACTTTAATAATTAAAGTAGCAAGTTTGGCTTTTTATTTTTTGATTAGATTGTTAAAGCAACATGTTTAAAAAATCTGGGAAAATCTGGAACATATTTAAAAAATCTGGAAATATACGTGGTCTGTCTGTGTATCTGGCAAGATAACTAACAATCTGGATAAATCTGGAATACTGCCATCGCTGATTGTGGGTATCTCGTTAGCCATAATCTTAGCTAAACTTATGTTCAGTGATACCACATCAAAAATTTTAAGTAAAAAAAATCATGTAGATTTACTGTCCTGTCCGTGTTCTATTCGTCCGAGGAGTGGAGCGACGGGCAAGCGTCTAGAATAAGCTTCTAAAATAAACTATAAAAAAAGCTTCTTTTGGAAGATGCTCTGACTAAAAATCACGGGCAGGACAGTAAATGTGAGTAGCTAAGTACGCAATAAAAGAGCATTTTTCGAATTATATTATAATATAATTTGAAAAATGCTCTTTTATTGCGTAACATTAATCCAATCGTAATAAGAACCATTTCAATTGCTGCCTTTCTAAATATAACCCATAAAGCACAGAACAGAAAGAGAAGTGCAAACAAATCTGTGAATCAAAAAGTGATACGTTTTTCGATGCGTTGTGGTAGCGTTTCACACGGGCCTTCTATGCACACTCACACTATCATAGCATGCTGCCTATTTTAACTGCAGGCAGAAGATGCCTTCTACCGCTAGGTATGCTAGTGTTCTCCAATGAAAAGTGGAGCCACTTTCTGATCCGAAGTAACCCTTCTGCTCTGTGCATAAACGCTCTCTTATTGGATATTCTTTTGGATATGTAACAAACATGCAAAGCAGTTTTCAATCAATCAATCTTTTAAATTTGTCGAACCTTTTAACGGAATCCCTTTATGAAGAGCCACATTCAATGCTAAGGTTGATAAAAGCATTTTCTATGATTATTTGTCAGTGAATTAGTTAGAGCACCCGCACCAATACTTTGCTAAAGCTATTTTAGCAGCCTCCACCATAACGCAGCAACCGCACCGAGGGATTGCTATTCCAGCGCAGGAAATAACAACCTGCTTCTTGGTGAACAGTACACTGAATTTGAATTGCGATGTAAACATTCATTCGCGTAAACTTGTATTTAATTTCACGCAAATAAGTAACTTGTTAGCAATGTTATTTTCAAATATGGGCATATGTATACAATATTTGCAAATTTTTATGAAATGTCTCAAAAGTTCATCAACCGGTGGGCAGTGCGCTCTACACTCCAAGTTCCCTTTCTTTCAAATTCAACCCAAATTTTATATTTTACCCCTTTGAGTGTTGACTAATCACAATGAAACATTGTGATAGACCACGGACTTGAGGTAACTAGAGTTTTAAATAATCTAGGTAATATTTAGGATTTTATCTGAAAAATCCAAATCTGGCCAACGCCAGAAAAATCAAAGATTTTCGTTAAAAAACATTAAACTGTGTTCATTTAACGTCGGTCTCTGTTCCGCAATCTAGTGCCAATCACCGACGGATATTGATTGCCATCCATTGATGGCAATCGAATGTGCAGAAAGGCAGCCTCCACACCTGC